ACTATTTATCCATACACTTGCTCACTCACTCACTCATTCACTCACACACATACATACACATACACACACACACATGCACATATTAATGAAGATTAGAGTACTTTCGGCACAGCCTCCTAGGTTTACATTTCGTAGAGGAAAGTATACTATTTTGTTCTAATGTAGTACGTGTAACATACTAAAGTTGACGGTCACTAATTGTTTACGTTTTCCAATCACGTTCTCTGCAAATAAATTCATTCAGATAGTTCATCTCAACATTCAATTTCCAGCATCGTGCCAAATATTCATTGCGGTCAAAATAGATTGGCAACGTAGCACAGTATTTATGGCCCATGAGACCCAGCAGTTCTGATTACTTAATACGTTCCCTCTGCAGTCCCGTTTCCAAACATTGCATGCACCACATAACAGCACCAATGTTAAATTAATGCCGTCCGCGATCGAATACCGTAAAGCTATTGTCAGGAGATGTGTAACGTGGGAACAGAAGCGCCCGGGTGTTAAATCAGAGGGGGCATGGGAGCCGTGATATCTCACCTTGAAAGTTGCCCTTCTCGGTTTTCAGCCAATCTTACGAAGGATTAACCGAGATTTCCCCAACTCTGGTGCCTTTACAATGCTCTGACCGTAGCCTGGATTCTGACAGAGTGAGTTACCTGAAACGCCATGCGAGATAAGTCGTTCCCAAAATTAAGCTGGAAATGTTTTAATTTGTGCAAACTTCCACAACCGCCAGGGTCCAGAATTGCAAATGTAAAGGATTTGAGGAGATTTTAAATTTAGTTTGCAAATCGACATTTTGCGTTTTCTTCACACTTAATGGCACTTTTGACATATTTTTGAAACGTTTAATATGTATGCGAAATTATTCGGAAATCATAATAAATAGTGTATATTGAAGTTCTTATTGGAAACTGCACATAAGGATTTACGAAGTAGTCGTGCAAAAGCTGTCTTGAAACTCGATTTCCTTGTGAATGATAGACTAAAAATTACCTTATTAATTTTAAAACAGAAATAGGCAAAGTCCACATAATGCAATGCAATTTTAAAGTCAAGTTCAATTTTTTACTTGCTGTATTAAAATTCAGCATATAGTGACAGATTTTAAAGAACTAAGTTTTATTACGAATTTTATTTTTAATAGAAAAACAGAATTACAAACACAAATCATTCTAGACATCATCTCAGCATACTGGTGTGTGAGATGCTTTAAAAAAAATAAGAAACAAACAACGACGTTCACTAGTTAGATATTTCGACGCCACAACGCAAAAGGAACTCTTTAATCATGAAAACATGAATTCGTGTGAAGTTCTAATGCGTCGTATTACTGCTGTTGGACCACGAAGACGTACTCCAATGAAGTCATATATGTGTTAAAAACTTTAAATGTATGGCATTAACTGGGGGGGTCGAACCACTGCTGGAGATAAACTGGAATAAAAAACAGAAAAGATGTTACGAAGATTTAAGAAGAATTTCCGATAGCAGACTACCAGCACTCGCAGTGGACTACAGATGCAGAGGAAGAAGAGATATTGGAAGTATAGGAGAGATAGGATATAAGAGATATAGGAGATAGAGGATATAGGAACAGTTTCTAGAACCTAACTTTTGAAGTGTAAAATTAGAAGAAGTTTTAAATGTATATTCTGTTACAGCTACAAGCCTTATTGACTTCCCGAATCTGCCCCGGCAGAAAGTAAAACAAAAGAAATATATCAAAGAAAATTAATCAGCCGCGGTGAAGGCGTTGCATGTTCCATGACCGCCCGGGGCGGAGGGCTCGGAACTTACACGCATCCCTTGCGCAACTCGGGGGCCGTTAGCCCAGTACCTGCGACCCATAAATCTTCGCCGCGGGAGCCTCATATTTCCGAAGTTGCGCCGCGCGGAGAGCAAGTGAAGTTGGAGCAGCCAGGCGCCGGGGCCTGGCCTGGGGCGTAGCGCATTAGGCCTTCGCGAAACTGCCTCCGTTCCCCCACCCCCTCGCCCCATTATCCCCCGGGCCCTTCCTGTAGCGAGAACGGAGGCGGAAGTAGCGCTAAGCCGTTGATAAATAATAAAATTATACGTAAATACGAAAAAAAATAATGTTAGCTTGAATATACTTGTATAATAACCATTTATAAATTATGTGTAATACTTAAGAAAAATTAGAATCAGTGTAAATAAATGTTTGATTACCAAAAGAAATATTACATTTTTGTGCCAGAATTGTGAATTTTCATCAAAAACTGTAATTTATTCAGATAGGTGATTAGACCACAATGAATAATCATTCATGGAGAAATTAATCAACCGTGATATCTCCGATCAACACCAAGCGAATGCCGGAGCAACACCCTAACAAATGGGTCACGGAGCGCACGATCTCTTTCGTTCCTCTTCCTTGCCCTATCATCTTTACACTTTGATGCACAATGCTACCACACATGTCTGGTGACCAAGAGTGATGTGACATCCATAACAAAACATAATGTTAGCAAACACCGATGTTCAAAATTAAAACATCAATGTTAAAAATACATCGACGAAAATCCATCGATGTTTTCCAACATTAGTATCATGTAACATTAAAGTCGTGTGCAAATAAAATTTAATTTGACACTGTTATTGTTTATGAATTCGCTGAATAACGGTATGATAAGATGATGCCACCGTAAGTCCACAGCTTACTTGTTGGCCGTATCTCATTGAAAATGAAGAGGAAATACAAAGGCATAAAGGTCATCTTGGGCTAGAGAGTTTGGTCGTTGGAGGTAGTGCAACCAGCATTCCTTTGTTTCCAGCACATAAGAAGCAGTGTTATCAGTTATTTCAAAATTTAACTTTTACAGTATTGCATTTCCTATTCAAAAACAAAACATCGGAACAGAAAAAAATCATTGATCACAAAACACCGCTGTTAATAAAACATCGGTGTTAATACATCGATGTTTAAAACATCGATGTTTTGAAAACATCGACATCGATGTCGCGTCCCTAGTCACCAGTTGGGAGCTTAGAGAGTGTCCCAGCTGAGGCAGTGACCCGCTAGTGGGAGATACCTGTTTGGAGAAACCCCCGCTAGGCGATGTGTAGGTCGGCGCCGAATCTCGCCATCGAGCGGGGGGGGGGAGCACTTTCGGTACCAATGACCTTAGCAGTTGACGCGCCCGGAATCACTAATCAATCAATCAGAGAATTCTCTACATGTCACTCACCGATCACGCACCCAACATTATTCGGCAAAAATGAGGGTCAAATTATCGACCATGCAATTGAACTGAGTATATCAAATGAGAGCAAGGCCCTCGGCCTTGTGTAGACCTCCACGAATATAGGGAAGCGAAACCTTTCCCCGCCTACCCCAACCCTTCTCACCCCATCTCCCCCTGCCCCCCCCGCCCCCGCCCCCCCCTCCTCATTCGCGCTAAAATTACGCTGGGCTCTGGCACGCGCGGCGGGCACTCGCTATTTGCGGGCGGCGGATACGCGAAATGAAAAACGAGCTCGCGACACCCCCCGCCCGGCTCCCCTCGTCGCGCGATCCCGTCAGTTACTGCCCCTCCCCCTTCTCCCCCTCCTCCCCCCACCTCTTGGGCCGGGCCGCGCCGCCATCTCGAACGCAAGGACGCTCTGGCTGGCGCCGAGCAGCCATCGAAAATAAATAGAGCTCTTGGACGCCGGGTCAAAGAAGAACGTTTTCAAAATGTTGGTCTTGAAATTTAGTATTTGGTAAGGACAGTTACTTGGTGTAACTGTAGACCCCTAGATTGTGACTAATTGACTGAATCGACGAATGGTTAAAGCAAATGAAAATTAAAACGCCATTATTTAATTTAACAAACATTTATTAATGTGGTGTAGGGTGCAAAGCCACCCTCCATGATCTAAAGTCACTCCATGTAATTGAATGTAGAAGATGAAATAATTTTAAAATGTAATTTATCTAAATATGTGTTAAATATAGTTTGGAAATATGTAAAAATGATTTCCTCATTTGAATTGGAGCAAACAAAAAGTTCGATGTCACATTTTGCAGGTTTGCAGTTAACGTTGGGAAACTGTTCTTAAAACTAAATTCTACTTTCCATGCATAAAAGTTCGTTGTCCGTGACCTCTGTGATGTGTGTAGAGTGTTCAACTGTTAATGTTAAGAAAAAGTGTTCGATTACCATAACTTGGGACCTTTTTGGTTACTCTTCAAAATTTAAAGTTCCTGGATATCGAACATTTTTGTTTTCTCCGATTCATTTACTTTACCTATTTCTTATAGAATTCCATTTACTTTATTTCCCTACCTCGTTTATTCACCCATTATTCATTTGTATTGACATGAATGCGAGGATTATTTTAAAAAATTTTTAAAAAAAGTGAGTCAACAATTTAATTTAATGTATATTCCCCCAACATAACGTTCTAGATATTTGTTTACAGAGTTTCTTATAAATTGGAGAATATAACCGTATTTTTATATGCATATTTATTCTTAAAAAATATACATACAAGTACTAGCAAAAATTAATTTACAAAAGTTTTAATAAATATTGGTTTATTGATGACGAATAGTCGGCTTTCCAAATATGAGAAAAAAGGCGTTTTCTTTCCCAACAATTTTGTTTATGGTATTGTTTTCAATCGAATTTCCGGCTTCTGAATAGCAGATATCTGATTATGATAGCAAGGTCAACGAAAGCTGCTAAGAATAATATAATAAACAAAAATTATGGTAAAGATGGCAACGTTTATTCTCACACGTTTTAATGAACATATTGATAGTGGGGATCTCAGTGTGTGCTTTGTAAGTTAACAATGTCATTTCGTATAGAAGGAGCCACGTGATGTCAACATCGAAGTGGTTACATGATCCACTGCCAGTGACTGGATTACTTGAGCACTGCACAGGGTAATTCTAATAACATCCTAATGCGCCAGGTAAACAAACCGGGACTAGCGGTCACTTTCTCTTTGGCCTCGTGACTAATGGTGTTTATTCTTGGCTTTTGCAGATGGCGGGCCTGCCTCCAGCCGCTACTGGACCAATGGCTTCGGTCCACGACCAGACGACAAACAGAGCACGCTGTCTCGGTGAGTACTGAAGTCAATTACGCATTCACTTGAATGCGCGTAACAATTTAAAACAAAATTTATTCCTTTTTTTCCACCGATGTAGCGGTTCCGAAAAATTTTGTGTTATAATACACCATGCCATATGCTCACTTTTCAAACTCTGGTTTTTAGTAGGTGGTACAAATTCAAAGTTTAATGCTAAATATAAGCAGTTTCCTTTTAACGTTATTGGTATAATATTATCGAAAAATCGTTTCATTATATTGCATTATATGCAAAAGGAATACCTGTTTTTAATGAAAAGGGTGTCCTTCATCCTTAAAACACTATTACTATGAAATTTCGAAATTTATTTAGTATGTTGTGCATAAGACCTACTCCGGATTCAGATCTGAGGACCTCGACGTCAGATCTCCCTTAAGAAATGTTATAACATTTCTGATGGTCAAGAAAAGCAGGGTTTAATTTTAACTTGTCCTCGCACCCTCCAATAAAAGCTGTCATAATGAAACTACAGGGATATAATGAACTTAAGCTTATTCCAATATTGGTTTATCAGTACGTTGAAATATTATCGCAATTCACTTTTTTTTAAAGATTGGCATCATTATACTTAAAAAGCTCTATTTGGTATGTTGTGTTACTCAGGAGATCATAGGGTGTCATCAACACAGTGGTTGATATCAACCACCGAATTTATAACCGCTAAATGTTAAATAAATTGAAATTCACTGCTTAATACCTAATCTGTAACTACAAACATGGAGAATCCAAACAGTTGTGATTAGTCCTTTCTCGTCCTTTTGAACTAGCTGTGTTCATCGTCTCAAGGATTTTTATCACTTGTTAACTTTCTAAACAACTTAATTTAAAATCAGAAAAAAATATGAAAATTCTTGAGCGATGCTGTTTAACGAAGTTAAATCATAGTGCTGAAACATAGCACTTAAAATTACATTTTTACAGTTATGAATAGATATTTATGGGTCCGCAAATGTATTCTGCGTGAATAAAATATTCTTATTTCCTCGACGAGATGGAAAGTTTCAGGCTTGTCTTCTAGTGAGTTTTCACAAAACATGTTTATGCCGCATCATCTTTACTTACGTTACAACTGTGAATAGAAGTTTCCACATCAGCCTGTCTAAATGAAGAAATCTACAAGTAGAGATTACGTAGATCAGCCTAACATATACTACGGACACACAGCACTCTGGTTTAGCGTGGGAGTGATAAATATAGAAAGGTAGTACATCCAATTCAGAGTATTAACAGTTTGCAGATGGCATGAAAGTATAAACGCCTTAGGCCTTGGCTTTAAACAACAATGTCCTTACTTCATACCTTGAAACAACATTGACACTTTGCTGTCATAGGTACAAATTTCATTGGTGGTCAATTTTCATCTGTTACTATCCCACTATGAAAAAATATGAGATATTCATTATAATGTAATATAAGGAATTTTTTACCTAATTTCTGTGCGAAATCTTTCTGGGATTGGTACGTATAAGGGAAGATTAAGTACTTTTAGATATTTTACCGCACTTCCTACAATAAATCGGTAATTCTTCAATTCAATTAAAATTCAAACTACATTATAAAATGATTTGAAAATCTAATTCCAAGTTATATATTTCTACACAATATACAGCATTCTACATTGCAACTAACAATAACATAGCCTAGGGTCATCGAATAAACAGAACAAAACAAAAAATAAGCGGGTGTTGTTTTTTTTTGTTTGTTTGTTTTTGTTTTTTTTCAATGCTCCTGCAATGTTCTGTCATCTCCTTTCAATGTTCAAAACTGTTAGGAACGTTAAGGAACATGCCTCATTTTCGTGCTCATAATGACTCGATAAGCATACAACGATCACGAAAATAAACTAAAAATAAACAAAGAGGTTCCGCATTCAAAAAACATTGTTACGACAGTGAACATATGTACAGCTCTCGATATTAAAATACTGTGAACACAAAAACTGGATAACACACCCTGTCTACTACACTGGAGAAAATACATTTTGCCTACTCGAGGTCATGTTTTGACCCGGGGTCATATTCTCCTCACCTCTGCTCACTCTAATTTCTCAATATCAATCTCTCTCTCCCTCTCTCTCTCTCTCCCGCTCTCTCTCTCTCTCTCTTTCACACACACACACTCATTCATTCACACACTCACGCACGGTCGGGTCAATCACCCGTTGCTTCTTTTCTACCACCAGAACAATTGCTCATTTCTCATTTCTTCTAATTCACTCAGTATCTTAGATTACCCGTGAGCCAAACCGGCAAACAGTACGAGTATCTCTTTTTTTTTGTGGCGGTAGGGAACACCCGTGATATTTTCCCAGGAATCCACAGTCACGGACGCTGCCCGCTTTGAGAGGACATCGGCATAGCATCGCCAGCCACATCGAGGTCTACGGGGATTCTCTGGCGACCAATTATCTGTGACCGCGAAATGACCACAACCGCATAGCAGCGGCGATCTCTCTCTCCCTCTCTCTCAGTCGTATGCAACCGCCCCGTTTCTCCTTGGCCGTTGCAACTGCGACCCGCTTCCAGCAGCTCGAGGACACGAAAAACGACTCCTCTTCCTTCGCGTCAATCCACTGCATAGGCCGACTCAGTTTCGCACAAAGGCTTCTACATGTCATCCTTAGTCTTCCTACAGTTTTCTTTTCTGTTTTAAGAAATATATTAATGTCTCTTATTATGTTTCGTAATTGTAATGTGACGTTGATAAAATTGATACTAAAATATTTGTTTAATAATTTTTTTTCTGTGAAGAGCGTATGTCCTGGGTACCAGAGTAGCAATTCAATTTTACAAGGAAAAATTCTTAACAGGGACAACCAATATCGATATCTGCGAGCAAAAAAGGAAAATCCATACAAGGCTCGAGAGTATAGAGATATTACTATAAGAAAGGACCGCATTTACAGCTACGGCTTCGCCACTGCTGCAGATTATGTCGATGCTCTATTTTTGTCAGCTTTTTTTTTCCATCACTATCTCTTGCAACTTCATCGCCCTTCAAGACGTTTATTTGTTTTCCGACCAGTCAAAGTGGTCCCTTCTAAAAATTAAGTCCTCTATTTCATGGTTCCATCCCCCAAAGTGCCGTAAATTTACTTGTGTATAACATAAGTGAGTTTAGTGGTGCTGAGCAAACCCTGCATACGAGAGTATCCAATACTTGCATTTCTTACGTCTTCCAAATGAAATCGGCTAGTCTTCCCAAAATGTTTCGTCATGTATCCTACTGTACCTATTGTAATTTCGATATCATTTTTATGAAGAATGGGAAACGAAGAGATGTAGGAATGTAGGAAGTCGTCCTTTCTATTTCTTTTTTCCTCTGGCATTTTATTGCATCGACCGCATCTCGTCGCACAGAAGAAAACGGATTACATCGGCCGCACTTCCTCGTCCCGTTAGTCAACAACCGATCATTTGGACTTGAGTGGTTTACTTGATTAAACGATTCACCCGCGACCTGCCTGTGGTTTTCCTAGGATTCACTGATAAAAAACAACACAGAAGTCTCTCCTTTATCTAGGTTTTACTTAGAAGGGCTATAAGTGAGGCCCTTTGTGAATGATAACACAGAAAAACCCTTCGTATCTTAGGCAGACATCTTAGAAGAAATATTTGACGAGATTCGTACGATCATGTAGTTTTAGAAAAGTAACAAAAAATATGTACGTTAAACAATAATACCTTTCTATGTCACTTGTCAAGAAATACGATCTCGACCCTGGAATAAACATTTATGCTTCTATATTTTTCAAGTTAACTTTGTCATACAGCCAACAAGGCAAATAAATACACGATTACATAACAATATTCTCCTACGATTGTATTTTTTTACGCGTGAGCGAAGGCAGTCTTTTCTCTACATCTGAAAAACGTGACGTCACCGTGCAAACACGCCTTTCTTGCAAAAAATCAACGGATGACAAATGAAGAGATGATTTTTAATAGAAGCATTTTCACAGTCCTTTATGCCTGTTACCTAACAGTAGTAATTATGATGCAAGGCTATTATTGCACACACGTTCGACCTATCACAGAAAAGTTTACAGTTAAGAAGTGATCAAATAGTTATCATCGTTCTATTAAATGTTCATGTCTACGTTATAAATATGAACTCTAAGTCAACAAATAAAATGTTTTTATATTTACATTTTTTATAAGAAACCATCAAAACGCCTGGACAATATACATGTCACTTCCCGCCACCAAGCAAAATCCTGGATATCTCGGTTCTTACATGATTTAATTAGTGGGTTCTTTGTGTATATTACAATATATAGTTTCCCATTCATTATGTCTGTTAAACGTAATTTCACAGATTTAAATGTTTTCTTCGCGTGCGTTTTACATAATTTCTGAACTTCATCCTAAATCGCCCTAAATTCCCGTCTATCTTAACCGCCCCAATCTCCGTTTAGCCCACACAACTGAAGTTCTACCGCACAACGAATTACGTGTGTTGTTTCGCTTTGGCAAGCCGTTTCGTGGAATTTCAAGAGTCGCCGCCTTATCACGTGGATTTTTTCGATCCCTTTGCCGTCGCGTATTCCGATCGAGACACGACGCCAAGGGGGTGGAGAATCGCAAGCGATGCGGGTCACGTAGAAAAGCAGAGGGAGACCAAAGAGAGGGGCTGTGCGAACCGTGATCTGTATGCGGAGAAACGAGCGAAGGGCGAGGGGGAGGGTCCTCAAACATCAGCCATTTGATTTGTCGGTCCCCGTTGTTTGAACTCGCGCGCTCTTGGATGCCTGGCACGAAAGACGAAAACCTACTGTTTGAATTGTTCCCTGAATGTACTCGCGTTTGACAATTCCAGCCAGAAATCATCAAGGTGCGAAATTTCCAATGAGATCGGGAGATTTTACAGAAATAAAAATCAACAATCGAGTAGTTATGTCCAAGCTGGCACGTCATCATTTGTTCTTACAAGTAAAAGCTTTGTTTCCATCGAACACAATTAAACAGTTTTCAAAAA